GTGAAGGGTTGGAATGTATGCAATTTTTTAATCATTTAAAACAAAAACTAAACTTAATTATAGAGCAAAAATGACGCAACAAGCTACATATACGGTGCGAAGATTAAGTCTTACTACTTATAAACTTCGTGACAGTTATCCAATAAATTTTTTTTAAATAGCTAGAAGGTCGTATATAACTTTAATTAAAAGGAATTCGAAAAGTATTACACTTATAATCTAAACCTAACCGACATAGGGGTCTATTCTGTAAAAATTTTAATAAAATTAACCCTGGGTTATAAAAACTTTTTAATTTTGTATTCTTTATTATTTGGTTAAAATTATAACTTGTCAGTAATAAATCTAGTAATAGTATGAGAGCCCACTGCAAATTTCGACCGTCATCTGATAACGAAATGAAATATGCTCCAAAAGCATGTAACAGCATTGTACTTTAGCAAATTGCACCTGTGCCAATCCCTATCCTGAGCAAAGTGGTTAAAAAAAATTATTTTATATTCAAAAAATCACACAAGACATGACAGCGACAATTGTGTTTTCCCTGAAAATTACAATCCTAATTCATTGTGAACCTAGCTTTTAATCCTGAATTATTAATATTTTTATCTACCTTTTAAACCATATTTATGTATAAAAGGAAGAAGGATGGCATTGTATAAACCATTTGCAGAGATAGTCAATAATAATTATAAACTCTTGTTTGACAATTATTTTTAACCATAATCATAGTAGTTTTTTTGTCGTTTCTATGGCAACCTGTAAAAATGAATCACAACAATAGGCGTACAAATAAATTTTTAAATCAGAAAACATTGATTCATATTTTTAATGATTTTTACCTACTAATCGTGGATAGATGTTTTTGTGCGATGTTAAGAGGAAAAAAATGTTTCCCTTTAACGATATATATCAAAATATATTTGAATGTAATTTTCTGGAAAACTTTACGGGCAAACAAAATTAGCGCTGTCATGCCTTATGTGATTTTTTTAATATAAAATAATTTTTTTAAGTCTCTTTACTCAGGATTGGGATTAGCACAGGTGCCATTTGGTAAAGTACATGCTTTTGCGGTATATTTCATTTCGTTATCAGATGACGGTAAAAATTTGCAGTGGGCTCTTGGGCTATAATGATGTCAAATATATTTAGGGTCTATTCTGTAACGTTTTAGTTAATTTTATCCGCCAATAAATTTTAACTCAAATCTCTTTACAATATTCAATCATTTTAATTTTGTGCTATAACCAATCCTAGTTAAAATAGACATTGCGAGGGGATCTCAACAGGGAGGGATGCTATCACCTCTACTATGGAATATGGTCCTCGACACTCTCATCAGCCGCCTCAATAATGACAGTCACTACGCAATAGCATATGCAGATAACCTGGTCATTCTGCAAACAAGGAATTTTGAGAACATACTCTGCGAAAGAATGCAAGTAGCTCTAAAAATTATAGAACAGTGGTGCAAAGACCATTCACTGTCTACCAATCCTAAGAAGACAGAAATGGTCTTTTTCACAAGGAAAAAGGTGAAAATGGAATTAAAACCTTCAGAACTCCTAAACACAAAACTATACTTTGCAACAGAGGTGAAGTACCTAGGTCTCACCTTTGACAGCAAGTTAACATGGAACTCGCATTTGGGAAACAGAGTTAGAAGAGCATACATTGCTTATGAACAATGCCGCCGAACCGTGGGACGCACTTGGGGTTTCTCCCCCCAGGAGTCGTCGCATGGACTTATACGACTATCACAAGACCTATGCTAACATACGGTGCAGTTGTCTGGGTACCGAAAACCCAAAAATTAACAGCTATCCGTAAACTAGAACAAATTCAAAGAACAGCATGTCTCAACATAACAGGAGCCATGAACACAACACCGACCAGAGCCATGGATGTCATTCTTAGTCTCACTCCCCTTGATATTTACATCAAGGAGGTTGCTCTGACGACAATGACACGCCTACACACAGTTGGAATAGAACCTGATGTATGATCTGGTGAGGCGAGACGTCGCTTTTGGCAGGAGGCGCTCGATACGCTCCCACTGCTTCAAGCGAACATGGACTCCATCTCACCGAGATATATCTTCCATAAGCCATATAAAGTTATAATAGAACAAATAGAAGAGCCAGAAGTGGCAGGTACGATTCATATCTACACCGACGGTTCTAAAATAAAACAAGGCCCAGGATGTGGAATATACTCCAGATTCCTAAACCTAAACATAAAATGGGCTGTGAGCAATAGTGCCAGTGTAGTTCAAACAGAGCTAACGGGGATTCTCATAGCAGCAAAAGAAATAACCAGAAACAATATCACTGGAAGGAACATGCTCACCCTGAACAGACCACGAATTTACTCAGGGTTAGTACGAATCTTTGGCACGAAGTATCCATCAACGATGGATCAAAGGTCACGCCACATCGAAAGGTAACCGTCTTGTTGATACACTAGCCAAGAAAGCAGCCAACCAAATACTTTTTGGACCTGGCCCTTCTATTGGCCTGACAAAATCGGTAGTGACAGACCTAATTAAAGAACATTCCCTTGTGACATTCAAGGAAAGATGGTATGAAACAAGAAACTGCAAAGTTGCCAGGGAGCTCTTAAGTTATCCTGACAACACTGCAGCAAACAAATACTTGACTATGACGAGACAGAATCTGCACCTAGTCAGAGGCATTCTGACTGGTCACTGCCATGTACGGAAACATCTCCATATCATGGGGCTGTTAGAATCCGCACTCTGCAGAGGGTGCGAACAAGAAGATGAGACCATCGAGCATGTCCTCTACGATTGCTCGACGCTCTCATTTATTAGAAGATTTGTGTTCGGCGAGTATCGGCTAACATCGGCCGATATAAGAGAAGCACCTCTTGGCGACGCTGTCAACTACAATAAATCTGTAGGCTGGCTCACGAGCTAGGAGGTTTCTATCATCTTAGGAGGATGCACAATGGGCCTAATGAGGCCTAAGTGTGTCGTGGGGTAACCCAACTTCCACACGTTACAGATAGACATGGCAACCATGTAATATACCTAAAAAGTGAATTGAAAGTAAATCGTCCAATGCAGCATTAAAAATAAGAAAAATAATATATTTGACATTTAATCATTACTAGATTATTACTGATACAAGTTATAATTTTAACCAAATAATACAGAATAAAAATTTTTAATAACATCCAGTAGTTTTTATAACCCAGGGTTAATTTTAAGCAAATTTTAACAGAATATATAGACTCCTTTGTGCTATTTATTTTTATTAATTTTAAAACTTCTTAGATATTTTTTTAAATCCTCGCTGAAGACCCTTTCAAATGAAGTGCCATACGACCCTTATTTCTAGTTAAAAAATTTATGAGATAAGAGTTAATTTTTGCAGGGTATTTGAGATAATATAAAATTACTAACTGAGCGATTGTCATTATAAAATCAACTAAATTTTAATTTTTTTTAGTATTGGATATTTAAATTGGACGAGTTTTAAAATAAAAACAGCATATAACTTTAACATACAGGATGTTTAATTAATGATGAATTTTGTCAATTATTTTGACAGTTTAAAATGTATATCGCTGTTCCGGTAAAACAATGACGCAAATGCAAAATTATAAATTTTTCAGGAGAGACGAAAAACGAATATTATTACTTTCAAATTTGAGCACATAAATCACAAAGAACTTGTCCTAAATAGCAAATACAACATTTAACCATGGAGTAACTAATGTCTCCCTTAAACTTGCAGACACAACTGATTCATATGTCATTGTTTTTCAAAAGTGGAGGGGCAAACATTAATATTTGAAAATTGAAGTAACTACCATTTAGATGGCCGCGAGTGGATAAAAAATGTCGCCGTTGTTATACCGTATAGAGAGACTAATTTGGGAACTAATGACATGTTAAAATCAAAATGTCACAATTTTGCACTTGCGTCATTGTTTTACCGGAACGGCGATATGTAAAATTTGACAGAAGGCTTGACTTACGTCAATTTGTAATTAACACATTCAAATGTAATGTGTAAAGAAAAATATATCTAAAACATCAGTAGGGGTGGGCAAAATAATCGATTGATCGATTAGTCGATTATATTATTTTTTAATCGATTATTTTCGATTAATCGATTATTTTCAAGAAAATCCTAGTTAATATTCAATAGGGCTGGACGATTATCAAAATAAATTATCGAATATTTGAAATTATCGATTATTTTCAATTAATTATATTTTTTTGTAAAAAATGAATATTGGTTTTTCAATTAATCAATTTAACAAAAAATAATTTATTGATCTATCATTAATGAAACGTCCTTTATATCTACTTCAAAACTTAGTTTCAAATCAATTTTTCCATGACATTAATAAATTTATTTGGTCCATGACTGTTTTATAATGCACCCATCATTTTTAAAGAGTTGAAGAAAATTGAAGAAAGGAAAAAACCAAATCTCTTTTTATAATAATAATAATAATCTGTTAAGTTAGAGTATTTTACAAAACAACTACAAAATATAAATACTCGGCAATATTCTTAGAATTGAAATCAATATAGAAAATACGAAAAAACGAAAAAGTCAAAGATTGTCTATATAGAAAATGTTCTTTCTAATATTTTATAATTTTAAGTTTGACATTCTTCAAGATGACAGTAGGTGAACTTAACGGGCTGACAATATAACCTTAATGTTGTATTTAATTTTAAAAAAATATTTAAAAATAACGTACCAAAAATATTTTACTCAATAAAAGTATGTTCATTAATATCTTAACAGTCGTGGACAAATTATAGTATTTTACTCGTAAATAATAGCTAAACCATAGTTATATGCTTGTTGGAAAATTTACTATTAAAAACGAGTTTGCAGCGAATAGTTTTTTTTATTTACTTACCGCTAGATCAATTTTTGTGTGCACGAATAATTGATGTAAGCATGAGTAAGCGTGAATGTTAGAAAGAGCGTACCCATTATTCACCACAGTTTTGACGTATGACGATGGGCAAGAAGGCGAAGACGAGGAGAGCAGCTTACCACCCCATCTTGGAGGATATGGAGGCAGCAAGCTGCCGCCCGGCATTCTACCGCACGGTCTACCCCAAGTCAAGGAAGTCCAACCGGCTATAACGGCGTTGGAGCAGGAACAGAAAAAGGAGGACGTCAAAGAAAGTAAGTGGAATAATTGTTTTTTTTTTCAGATCTGGCAACATGGCATGCTGATAAGTGACGTACGTCAATGTCGATATCAGAATGGTGGGACTTCTGCGCTAGAGACTAATTATTATTTGCTTACAGATGATTGATGGTGCGACTAGGGTTACCATATTCAAAATTACAATTTCCTGACATAGGTACCTAATGAAAAATCCGAACATTTCTTTAAAAATCCGGACAAAATAACAAAACTCCAACTCATGAAATAATTAAAAAAAGTTCCTAGCGTCAAAAATTAAAAACAAAAACAGTTCTTCAATTAAAAATTCGTATAATTAAACTAAATATATCAGAATCTCAGAGGTAAGGTGTGTTGTCACCAAATCTACATTTGTCAGGAGATGAATTTTAAAGTTCACTTATTGTTTTAACGAAAAATGTAAAGAAACGGTGAATTTACTAAATATTGGGATCTTTGCAAAATACAATTGTTTGGTCAATTTATTTCGATTTTTTGTTAGATTTTTTTCCTTGTCCTAAAATTTTGACTTTGATGTGACTTATCATTATCACAATGTGGTCACCTTAAGATGGATTAAAGGTCACGCCACATCGAAAGATAACCGCCTTGCTGATTTCCCTAGCCAAGAAAGCAAGCCAACCAAATACTTTTTGGACCTGGCCCTACTATTGGCCTGACAAAATCGGTAGTGACAGAATCAAAGAAAATTGCCTTGTGAAATTCAAGGAGAGATGGGATGGAACAAGAAACTGCAGAGTTGCCAGGGAGTTCTTAAGTTATCCTGACAACACTGCAGCAAACAATTACTTGACTATGACTAGACAGAATTTGCGCCTGGTCACAAGCATTCTGATTGGTCATTGCCAAGTACGAAAGCATCTCCATACCATGGGGCTGAGAATCCGTACTCTGCAGAGGGTGCGAACAAGAAGATGAGACCATCGAGAATATCCTTTACGATTGCTCGACACTCTCATTTATTAGAAGATATCATTGACCCCAAATTTGCAATACTTAGTTTGCGATTTGCCGAGTGTTCCGTCATATTTTGGCGAACTGATGCAACTAGGGCGTTAATCTGAATTTGGTATGGAGAAGTGGAGAAAATTATTTTCTCTGAAAAATGTGACTTAACACACCTTACCTCTGAGGTGCTGATATATTACAAAGGGCGTATACAAACACAACTACACAAGACAACAATCATCTATTAAATATTCCTGTCGTCTGGTAACCCTAAGTTAGGCTTACAGATGAGGAAAACCTCACCCACCATCATTGAAACGTTAACGCACGGCAATCTGAATGTAATATAAACGAAATTAAATTACTGCTAATACAGCACACATTAAATCCTACAGCAAATCATGCAAATTAATTGGACATTTACATTGTTTGGTCTAGGATTCGAAGCAGAGTGCCGCTGATCATCTAAAAGGTATGTAAGTGAATACTGGTCGCTCGATACAACTACGTTACCGAGACGAAGTATCGATTCAATTTGAACCAACATATTAGCAAACTTTAGACAACCCAGAAGAAATATATATGAACAATCTCATTTGAGATCGTATCGCTATAGTGATACTGGACACGAAACCATCACAAAGGTTACAAACTGAGGCAATCTAAATTGACCCCTTCAGCGCGGGAGTCCGGTCATTCTGACATTGACACGCGTCACTTTTCAGCTTGTCTGAAAGAACAATAATCACGTCTGTTAATAGATAGTTCAACGATATCTGTATCCCACGTGATCCGATAAAACAAGAAATTTAATCAAAATGGCTGTAGTCAGTGACATTGTTTTAGGGTTACTACTGAAGTAAACATCAATTTTAGTCACGTGTGATACAGGTACCGTTGAAGACTGTAGAAGCAACGGTTTTTGTACGACTACGTTTCTTATTTTTTAGTTCGGGAACTTAGCGAAGAAGAGAAACAAATGATCATCCTTTCGGAGGACTTTCAACATTTCATTGACAGGGCGGGGAGAATTATGGAAAGGGCCTTATGTGAAAGTGTAGATATATACATGGATTATACCGGCAGCTTGGGAGAGGATGGGCTGTAAGTGAATAAGATCAATTTAAAAAGTATTCGCTAATAGTGGGTTGCATAAATGAAGATTACATTTTAAACCCATGATAATATATTTTATCCATGGATATTTATTATCTCTAGATTTTGTAATCCAAGCTAATGACATATTTGGATTGACTTATTTAAAGGATTATATTGACATTTGTATACATAAGTTTAAAGTTGGACTTCTTGTCTAATTCAGTATTCAGTTAAGTTCTTGCACTTTTCACGCTTGCTTACATTTATTTTGTTAAGTTTTTGAAGTTTAACATCAATCCAAAATAAATGACAACTATTTTGATGGATCAAATAATTAAAATGTGGTTCGTTCACAAAATCATAGGATTTTCTAATCTAGTGATAATAAATATCCATAGATAAAATGTATTATCCTGGATTTAAAATGTAATCTTTTATGCAACCCACTATTAGTTTGTTTCCTAGTAATTTTGTTTTATTAGGACTTGTATCAGTTTGAAATTTCTGCCAATCAAAATTAAGCTTTTAGTAACACATAATTCAAGATATAGTGCACCGGAAATAGATTATTAAGACAAAATTTTTAGTACAGCATAGCTAGATAACAATGAAGATTTTTACTTCTTCTGACAAAATTTCACTATGCACGGAGAGGAGAATGTTCGGAAGAAGGTATTTTATATATTTTCGGCGTTTTTCCCCAGTTTTGGTATTTTACTCAAAAAGAAATGTATATATTTTCCTGTTTTTTGCATTTTACATAAAAACCTCGCACTTTGGTGGAAAATTTCATCAGAGCAAAGTTGTATCGAACCTATGAAACAGATTTTCCGGAAACCCATTGTTTCCGCTGCTCTGGGCAAACAATACGAAAAATTGAATAGCAATTTTCTAGCATGCGCTGTTGCAACGGAAACTGGATTTGAAGAATATTCTCGATTATTTTTTTCGTATAACTTTTAACCAATTAGAACGTTCAATTTAGTTAAGTTACCTCGTATAATTTCGATAATACCTGATTATACATAGAGTAGCCCCACCAATCAAAAATATTTACAATAATTTTATTTCCGTAGTAACCACATCGACAACAATACACTAACTAACAGGACCGTCAAATTTTGACGTTTATCAATAATTAATAATTGTAATTTTCATTGTACCAATATGTATTTAAATTAATAAATTGTTGATATTTACTTAATTTACTCAAAAAATAATCGTATCAAATACAATACGTACTTCAAAATAATCAGGTTATACATCGATAACTTGTTGCATAATTATAAAGAGTGTCAGTTTGACAGTTTAAATAATCCGACCGCGAAGCGAAGTATTACTACTGAGAATATTACCGAGGATATTCTCCATTATGAGAATTTTCTGAGGACGATCTACTAAAACCAACTCAAATTTAATGACAGTGACATCTAAACTCGAGTGGCATATTGAAAACATCTTTTAACAACTCTCACCAAAAACAACAAAAATACTATGATTTACTGTTTTTCGATCGTGTAACGATTTAAGGCAAAAACGACAGTGTTCACCAGTGAGCGCTCTTAGTTGTAAATCTGTGCAATAAACTTTATAATGGTTTAAACTTAATAATGGTTTAAACTTTAAAACTGATTGGATTTGGTATAAGTTCAGTGGAATGTAGGTAAAAAACTTAAAAACACTATTTTTTTTTCCAAGAATAATATATTTATTACATATAAAGATGTTAAATAAAATAAAATAAAAACAAGATAAATAAATCAAGATTTATTTTAAACAAATTTACGAATTCAATTTTGGGGTTAAAATTTGAACAGTTTTACAAATTGGTAAATGAGAGATTTTTAAATCATAATTTAGATTTTTAACACTACTAAATTTATAAAAGTTATTAAATCAATAAATTTACCATACTTATATACAAGGTGGGGATTTTAAATGGAACGCTTCTTATAGCGGATCTGGTAATAAGAATTTTGTAAAATCCGAAAACACGTAGAACTGTACAACAATAAACCTATCCATTGATAGTTTTTAACTTTAAAACTAGGCATTAAACTAACTTATTTATTGTCATCCATAAATGTGTGCGGCATAGATAAATTATCTTCTGGTTTCTTACTAGAGCTGTCAAAAATACTGATACTGGAATCAGAGCTGTAACAGAGTATTCAGAACTTTTAATGTAAAGGTAAGTATACATTTTGATTAATAATAAGGTAGTTCATGAAAATAATCAAAAAAGAGGCATGTATAATAATATGAGTTTATAAAAGCGTTTGTCCTTGTTAAGCACCTACAAAATTTAAAGTACTTACAATATAAACATTTCTTTGTAAGATAAACTACCAAATTTCATCTTAAAGGATAAATACCTGAATGAACATTTCCGAAACATAATTAAGAAAGTTTTTAGTTACCTAAATGAGCTTTCTCGAAACAATGAACTTAGTTTTGGCAGTGCTCCAGTCTTGAAATATTTGCTTTTTGAAGAATATCATTAGGATCAAAATGTTTCGAGAGATACCTTCATTTTCTTCAAGTCCTACAAGTGATAGCCAAATATTCTTACATACCTTTCAGTTGGGAATCTAAAAATCATGCATAAGCATATTTATTTTACCACTATAGTCCAGACTAAAGTGTTTCTATTAATTACAATTTTTTTGCGAAATTAATAATGTTGAAAGATCAAAGAAAATAATAGTAATTCAAAAGTAGATACTACATGTGATATTACGGTAAAAATCTTTAAATCTACACCACTGAACTATGCAATACATCATCACCTAACCTTACTTACTTATGAAAAGATACTTCAGCACCCACATTTTCCAGTTTTTTGCTCAAAATGCACTCGCGAACCATGTTGTTAGCTATACACAAGCCAACATTTTTCCAAAAAAGTCTAAAGATTAACAAAAACACCCAATATGCAACAATTTACTGGATCGCAACGTCGCAAACTATCGATGGATAAAATACTATACGTGACGTCCGTGACGTATAGTATGAATAAAACAAAGTTATTTTAAATTGCGGTGGTGTCACGTTTGACGTTTTTAAAATCCTTGCATTTATTTGCAGGAATAATAATGGTGTTTGCCATAGTTTATCTTAGTATTTGTAAAGTTGTTATTTAGCAAACGTATGTATGTAAAAACGATGGGTACAAAAATGCCCTGCCTAATGGTGTAAAAATAGGTGCTGCTAAAATATCAAGTCTACTGAAAGCAGTTAAAATAGATTAATCTACTTTGTACACATTTTATACGTTTTATGTTTTGTTACAGCGCACCAGGAAACGCATGTCGGTTCATTTACGAAATAGCTACGCGCCACGTTTCTTTGCAATGTATAACCGGGTTTTAAATGTAAATGGAGGAGCTTTGGTTGTAAACGATTCCTGACGAAAATCAGTTTTGAAACTCATGGGTTTAAATAAACTTTAAAAATTTATTTATGATAAAGCATAAACAATAATAAAATAAAACCATTTATGTTCTGTTTTAGCGACAAATAAAAAACAAAATATAATTCTCAAAAGCATAAAAAATGTAAAATAAAATCTTAAACAGACTAACAAAACAAAATTAAAGATTTATTTATGATGAAGCATAAACAATAACAAAATAAAACCATTTATGTTCTGTTTTAGACGACAAATAAAATATAATTCTCAAAATCATAAAAAATGTAAAATAAAATCTTAAACAGACTAACAAAACAATATTAAGTTTAAAAAAATAAATCAATTTGAGTTGTCCACATCACCATTACTATTTTCATCCTCTGACGAGTCCGACTCCGACCCATCACTCCCGTCAGACTCCAATATCATTTTCACTGCCTCTGTTTCTCCAAGACCACCCTGTGACTGGTAGTGCGAAGTAGACGGGTTCTCTTCATGTTATTTATACTTGGAGGGCTTGGACATCCTTGATACCTGGCCCTGGTCCAATAGTTTCAAATTATTAGCTATAAAAGTAATTTTACCGGCTCGCTCAACAGTCAGTCGGTTCCTTTTTCAGGAGTGAATGAAACCATATGTGCCAAAGCTTCTTTCTGTAGCAGCGCTAGTTGCAGACATTCCTAAAATTTGAACCGCTAATGTACTTAGTTTTGTCCCAGAACAGGTTCCTTTCCACCAAATCTCGGGTTCTAGTGTCTTGACATACCTTAAAACGTATGGTTTTGCAAAAAATTCTTTAGATCTATAGTACGCCAATTCCGCCATTAAATTTGCCGAATCATCTGGGTATTTTGAGGTAGCTAAATAATCAATAAACTCTGTATCCTGAATTCGCTCCTCGTTGCTCAAATGAACACCATTTAAACGCGGGTCTAAGATATTAGCTGCCAAATGTATAGGGTGTATGGCAGTATGCTTTCTTTTTGCTAAAAATTCCTGGACATTTTGCTCTTCCTGCTTTGTAAGGGGACTTGAAAGTAACGCCGTTTCAAAATGTTTTTCTAGGGAATAAAAACAATCTATTACTTCACTTATCTGACTGTAGTTTGGTTATATATTCAACAATGGGGTTAATCAAATTAAACAACTTCAACACTCGTACCCAGAATATATCTTCATCTAAAATTAATTTTCCTACTTCAAAGGTATTGGCACAGTTGTCTCCTCTTTTTCAGTCTGGATTTTTTTAAAGTGGCCAGTAAAAGATGAGAGTTATTAATTTCTTTAACGATAGCTTTAACATCGTCCTCTATCGAAGCCATCGTTCGCATTTTTGAGATGTCTCCTATCAACAAGTTAAGTGTATGGGCGACGCAACCGTAAACAGATATGTGTTTATACTTTTCATGAATGATATTTCTGGCTTTGACCATTGCACTGGCGTTTTCTGTCACTAGAGCAATCAAATTTTCTGGTCCTATTTCTATTAGTACTTCTTCTATTTTTTCTGCCATATATATACTCTGCAATATATCGATTTGTATCAGTAGTAAAGGTTTTAAAAAACACAGGTCTAGGAGTGATAATAAAATTAATAATGACCTCGTTTCTTCTGTTGCTCCAACCATCACACTGCAGACCCAGAGCATTGGCTTCACATATTTTAACTTTTATGTTGGCTGCGATTGTTTCGTATTCTGATAAAAGTTTATTAGACAAAGAATGTCGTGAAGGCATTTTAAAAGTTGGCCTTAATTTTTAAAAGAATAACTGCCAATGTTTATTTTCCGAGATTGCAAATGGTCTTCCAGAAGCATAAATTGCCCTTGCAAACAGTTGTTTCAACTGTGCTTGCTCTTCTCTATTTGAGAAATCCATAAACCTACGTAAACTAAAAGTTGATGTGCTACCTGTTATGCTGACAGTTGTCGAAGTTGAAGCCTCGTCTACTTCACCCTGATCTGAAAATAAATGTTTTGTTGTGACTTCAATTGAATTCAACTTCAGCAAAAAAATCCCCTTTTATCCTCCGTGTAATAAGGGCACTCACTCCGGACACTCACATCCTTTAAAGTAAACCCATCACTATTTATGTTTAAATAAAATATCTATTCAGGCAATAAAATACAACAAACTTATTATACCCCTTTAGCTACTTTTTTTAAATGCTTTTTGATACAAATATATAGTTTACCATACATCATACTGTACTAAATATTTACATACTTTTCAAGGATGAATCTGCAGTACTCATCGGAGAGGCAATGGATACATTTTGACTTTCCCCTATTTTAAAGCGTTTTTTAATATCACTGGGACATTTCAGACACTTCAAGTGTTTTGTAATTTTTAACATATTCACTTGCACAAAATTTGCAAACATAAACCGTTTTTCCCTTAAGTTTTTTTATATTATAGTAATTCCACACATTACTTTTTGGTTTGGTTATTTTATTACCCCTTATCCTATTCATTTTGCCGATTTATGTTCAATACAAAAAAATAATTCTTATACTGTCTTCTGTTTACACGTTATGACACGAAGAATTACAAATACATGCCTGGAATTCCCCACGGTCCGTTTTGCTCGGTAAAAATCGATATCCAATGGCAAGGCTCGGTCGCGTTTAGACCGTGTCCCTTAAAGCATTATGAGAAAATTACTGTTGAGAATTTTCTACCCGAGAATATTCTCGTTCGAGAATATTCTCTATTCTCGCCTCACATTCCTACTTCTTCCGATTCCGATTCTCATCTTTGCGAATAGTGAAATTTTGACAAAAGTAGTCAAAACCAGTATTATCTGGGTCTCTATACTGTACTAAAAATTGTCGTTGCAGGGTAATTTTTTGTCTAATTCCGGTTGACTAATTAGATTCATTAACTTAACCATTCTTTTAGAGACGAAAAATCCCATCAACGCATCTCATTCCAACGAAATTTCTTCGACGAACGATGGTCCCGCAACCGTACCGTCACCTCTTTAGACTGGTCACCGCAATTTCCTGAGTTGCTTTTGGCTGCCTACAACAATAACGAAGAATCTCCGAACGATCCCGACGGCGTGGTGCTGATTTGGAATACGAAGTTCAAGAAAGCGACGCCAGAGTACGTGTTTCATTGTCAAAGCGCCGTATTGTCGGCTACGTTCGCAAGATTCCATCCGAATTTGATTCTGGGCGGTACTTATTCCGGACAGATAGTACTGTGGGATAATAGAGTGCAGAAAAGGACTCCCATTCAACGAACGCCGTTGTCTGCGTCTGCGCATACGGTAAGAAAATGTTAAAACAAACATGCAACACAAAATAGGTCGAGATTCCTCGACATAATTCTATCCCCACAAAATAATTTTAAAGTGTCACAACACTATATTTTTCTACTTTTTGAGGACTTGTATCGTCCGAAGCAATCAAGATAGCCCGATTCAGTTAGAATTTCATTTTCGGTGTAACCTTATAAAACTTATGAACTTAGGGTTTTTCAATAGGATGCCAGCTGTTCAGGACATCCAATTTTCTAGTGAAAGTAGACGGTATATATATGATACCAATATGTTTTCCCATCTCTGTTGGGTGTTACGATTTGTGTTCTGTCAATCGGTAACCATTTTTAACATTGTCACTTGAAATTTTAATGTATAGGTTGAGCATCGCATTTCGGAATTATCTGTTAATTAATTTCATTTTGATTCTCCAAAGCCGTTTGATTTGTTATGGTAAGCCTTATATATTAATATTTTTTTGGTCTTTAAGATTTTTTATACAATGATTACAGTGAGATTTATGAGAGAACAAGTTCTCAGCTAATTAAAAATACTTTTAATTTCTGTAAAATCTGTTTTTTAATAATTGAAACATTTTCTTGCATCCTTCCTTTTTTATTATTTCCTCATTTTACAGTTCAAAAAACTATTTTAGCTTGGCAGCTTCAAGATTGCTTAAATTTTGCAGATTATGTTATAAATATATGTATAATACATTCTTGGACGTTAAATAAATGGTTGTACCCCCTAGATTAAATAAGCAGACTTAACTTTCTATCCTTAAAGACAGCATTTGACCTATTGACCCGTTATCTTGCCCCCACGTTGGGCGCCAATTTTGTAATGCAATATTGTTAAACTTTTAGCATCCAGTGTACTGCATGAGCGTAGTGGGTACTCAAAATGCGCACAACTTGATCAGCATCTCAACCGACGGCCGACTGTGCTCTTGGTCGCTCGATATGCTCGGCCAGCCTCAAGAGATATTGGAACTGCATCGGATGCAATCGAAACCCGTCGCCGTCACGTGTCTGGATTTCCCGCATTCGGACGTAAACAATTTCGTTGTGGGTAGCGAAGAAGGTTCAGCTTATTCGGCTTGCCGACACGGAGCCAAAGCTGGGATCACGGATACCTATGACGGCCATCAGGGACCCGTTACCGGAATTAGCGTAAACGGAGTACAAGGGGGGATTGATTTTTCGCATATGTTCCTCACTTCCTCCATCGATTGGACTATTAAATTGTGGAGCTTAAAGGTAAGTTGAGGGAAATTTAATTTAGATACGGAATTTCAAATGATCGACTTTTAGGATTCGAAACCGATTTACTCATTCGAAGATAATGGCGACTACGTCCTGGATGTCAAATGGTCTCCCACTCATCCAGCTCTATTCGCAGCCGTGGACGGAAGCGGTAGATTAGATTTGTGGAATTTAAATCAGGATACCGAAGTACCGGCAGCTAGTATTAACGTCGAAGGTAATCCCGCTTTGAACAAAGTATCTTGGACGCCGAATGGACTGCAAGTAACTGTCGGCGATAACCAGGGAAAGATTTGGGTGTACGATGTCGCAGAGGTAAAATAATACCGTGTATACCTCAGTTCTGAAAGTTTATAAACTGACGTCATTTATCAGTGACTGTTTTTATAAAATTTAATGACTTAATGTTTTATTTTTTATTACTTATTTAAAAAAAAAATACTCAATTTACTGCCATACTTAAAGTGATTAAAAGTGCCACAGAGAACAACTTTACTTATTTGTGACGCCCTAAGATCGGGAAACAATCAAGCACCAGTTTTATTAATGTCGTTTACAGCTTGGCGAAAGAATTCGGTCAGCTTCGAATAGAGATACGGAAATTTACAGATGTCAAGTTATCAGATTTTAATATCAGCAACGGATGCGTTTACGCCGTGAGTCTAGAGCCGGAACATGTTTTCGATTGATATCACGTTGAATATATTACTATCAACAAACTACATATTTATTAATGACGTCAGTTTATAAACTTTTTTGACTGAAATTATAGTGTACAACAGCGATTGGTATCTTCCTTTTCAGAGTTTCGCACATCCGAGACACGATGAATGGAACAAATTTCTATATACAACACAAGAACTTCGTAACAATCAAGTCGATGATGAATTAGAAAAATTAAATATTTCAATGCCCAACACATCCCTTAGCACCATGGGCTCTCTATCTATGACGCCCTTACGATAGATACACAAAAACTATAGTTAAATTGCAAATTATTTAATTAGGTACTAGCCTTTGTATACAGGGTGTCCTAGATAAACGGTGCCTCATTTAATTTTCGAAAATAGTTTTTTTTTTTTTGAAAATTGTATTATAGAGTATTAAAGGACGACATTACAACTGGACCCGCTGTATATATAATACAAGGTATCTCATTAGTTTTAAGCGTGTATAAAAATTTTGGGACACTTTGTATGCACGTAATTTATTAATTTTGAATTTTTACACAGTGATATTCTTGGAGGATGTTTTAAAAATTGATATCTCACATTTTTTCTTCATGTGCCCAAACATTTAAAAAAATATGAATCCTGTTCATGTATGTCATTGTGTAAAATTACATGGTACTATGTAATAAAGCTGTGTCATAATCTTTTTACCCTGTATATAAACGTAAGGCGGTTGGGAAGAGGGAAAGCTCAGCAATTGCTGAACCGTCATTGACTGCTGTTTCATTATGAGATTGAAAAAAAAATACATTTTACTTAGTTGGTTGTCTGTAAACGGACAGCTTCACGCATTATTTTGATAGACCCACGACCTAAGCAATACTACGTTCTATCTTCATAACCATTAGAACAGTGTCCTAATAATTATATTGACATACAATAATCCTATCCAAAAATAATCGATTACCTCTCGCGTACGCCCTAACCGTAAAGGTACGATAGTACATTCTCGCTGTCAGAATGGTAACTTAACGATGCTTCTCGACGTTACAAATGAACTGCATAATTTATGATTATTTTTAATAATTATTAATCTTAATTAAGGATCATTCTGTCAAAATACAATAGGAATTCATAAATTATACAACATTCAAAGATTTTACTTTAATATCATCGTAGAACATCGATATTTCGCGTCAATGTCACAGCACTAGAACAGAATAAAACATTTATTTGCTTATGTCGTGTTTTGCTTTTGTGGCCTTCGCCTATTCGGTAAAATATCCTCACTACATTAATGGTTTACCATTTAAAATGTTTTCTGTATTTTACTATTTTCCGACGCTTTCCCAGCTTCCTTGCGGCATAGTCGTACTAAAACTATTCAAGAGGTCGTGGGTTCGAATCCCGCTTGTGGAAGTTTTTTTTTTTAATTCAAATTTTTCCAAATTTACTCTTGTTTAATTCATGATTATACTTTGGTACGACCGGTAAACATCCAAGGTTCAAGCGTGGCTGCACTACAAGCCCATAAGGTTTATTTTGTCTCCATCTGCGAGTTTTACTGCATACCTCTTCACTCACAGTTTTTGTGAGAATGTTGAGGGAAGCATGCATAAGGATTATCCCTAATATCCCATATTTCATTTAAGTATAATTCGAATCTTAAATTGAATTTAATGGACTAAAATTGTACTAAATTTTTTTACCGTCGATATTTAATGGAATTTTTTTTTCGAAAAATTTTATTCATTTTGTGATAATAATTATTTAACATTTAACACTTATTTCCGTCTCTTTTCGTTTGTAGAAATATTTAAGGAAATGTAAATAAACGGACTATTTTTGATTATTTTATACCCGCATACCCTGCTTTATTAATCCACAATCTGGTTTGAGTAACAATTTTTTAAAGTTACAAATTTGGCGCCCAACGTGGTCTCTTATACCTATAGAAATGACATTACAGAATCATTGAACAACATTGAAAGGAAATACAGGGCTAAACCTAATAACTAGCCACCACAGTAGCCATGCTTTGTTGATGGTTTGATAGTTTTCTAAAATGGTGGGGCACAGAAGGTCACCTCTACTTCAATGTTGCAACTGTTACTTTTCTTTCTGTGTTGTTCATCTATTCTGTGCCTAAATAAAATAGAAATAAATTTTAAACTCCCTGTAATAATCTTCTAAAAAAAAATCTGCTACAAAGATTAATTTGTTACTTAATTTTTACTTTTTCTTCTTTTCTTTATTATGCATGTATATAGCTATTTATTTTTCTTTTTGTAATAACAAATATTATTAGTATTTTTTTATACTTCTTCATTGTTATGTATGTATAATGCCAAAAAGTACAATGGCGTTAAAATTGAAAATACCGATTTTAGAAGCTGTTAAATATTTTTTTTTTATCTACGGATCTGTGATTAAATAAATAGGATGCGAATGGCTTGAAAGATAATGTAAAAAGATGTTTTTGATATGTGTAAATCCGATTTTGAATATTTTTTTGGTGTTTTTATTTTAACGCCGCTGTATATGTTTATTTAAATAAAAATCGCATTTACCTAGTCTCTTTTTTCATAATTTTAGACCTTTCTCCAATGAAATACTGAGGATTTTGATTCCACAGCTTCTTCATCTCAAATGAGCCCAAATTATATATTGCGACGCAGTGTAGTTTTACATATGTCGACCTCGTCTTTTAAATAACCTTTATGTAGTTCTTCTAGGTCTAAAAAAGCAAAATATTTCCTTGTCTCTGGTTCGACCATCATAGGCACATTTAGATCATTCTTTTAGTGTGCGCCGAGCACTTTACATGATTTTTTATAAATAAATACTGCTATTAAAAAAATGTCGAGAATCAGAAAAGCACAAATTAATAAACTCGTGAGTCAAGTAATATACGCCGATACTTAACGAGAATGATAGTGACAGTGTTAGAAGAATTCTCGCCGCCGCCGACGATGATAGTGATGATGACTCAATAAAGTGACATAGCTTAGCATAGTAGCTGCAATCCTCGTTCCTTCGAAACACTTTAAGTGGACATAGATATATCAGATACCTTTTTTTCTTTGTCTTTCCTTTTTTAGTATAATTCGTTACAAACAATTCGACAGAATAAATATCTTTAATTGTAATAACAAGCCATATCAATATTTCTGAATAAAACGGCTGATTGTGTATCACATTATATACAGTGTGTCGCATTTAAGATGACACCCCTATATTTTGGCTATCTAAATAAATACAGATTTGAAATTTTGCACAGTCGTACGGTGTCGGGACATTTGCCCAGTTTTTTTCAGGTACATTTTGATCCGGCAACGATGCACTTGAGGTGGGATGGTACTAAACCACCCCAAAGCATCGGAGAGATGCGCACGCATAGTCGTACGATAGATAGGATCCAGAGATATATAGGATCACGTCATCAGTAGTATTGAGAAAGGAAATTTTAGAAGTAGGGGATAAGAAAACAATAATTTATTTAGATATGACAATAAAAAAACTGTAAATACAAGTGAATAAAAATAAATAAAATTACTTTTAAAGAAATAAACCGTATCTTCGAATAGACGAAGTGTGAATTCTTGCATTTCAAGTATATACGGAGTGTTTCAGAATAAAATACTTGTAGATCTTAACAAATTAATATGAAAAGTTAAGTATAATTTTCTTTTAAACGTTCCAGTTTTTATTTTACAGGGTGATATAGTAATGTTCATAAACACAAAATTTTCTAAATATCTATCCTTACGGTAAATATTTTAACTTACAAATATGATGTTAGTTAATCGTCATTATTAGTTAACACATTTAATTTTTATAAATTACGAAAATCCATTGGCGTATTTATCCAACCCTTTTGGACACCCTATACTTCATGAGAGTTAAAATTAGTAATATTAAATTACTGAGATTATTCGGTTTAAGTCCAACTCGAACATGAAATCCATGTACAATTTTATCAAGAGACGATTTCATAAAAAATATTAAAAATTCCATTAGTAAATGGGACCAAGTTTTTATGGACTTAATGGTCCCATTAGGGAGTTTTAGCAAACAGCCGCTAACCATCCGCTAACGTTACCTTAGGGATAGACTGTAATCTACTCTGTTCAATGTTTATGAAAAAGATCACAATCTAAGTTTAACGTAACGTTAGCGGAAATCTTACGTACATTTGCTAAAACTCTCTAATAGTAAATTTTTTTGCATTTTTTGAATTTTTTAATGTAGATATTTCATGTTTGAGTGGAATTAAAACTAAAATATCCTGAAAATGGAATGTTCTACAGAGATCAACCAAGAGTCCATTTTTTGCAAGAAATTGCGTGAGGAATATTTAATAATTTCAGCTTTTATGATATTCTTAAGTACCTATAGGGTGTTCAAAAAGTTTGAATTAAAATTGTGTTCTCGGGCCTTATTTATTTAAAACATTTATTTACCTGTTAAATATTTAAAATATATACAACATTACATAAAATAACAGAACACTTTTCCTATCAGAAATGTGCCGGCCTTGCAGGTACCCGCTGGGCCAATGGCGATATCTTCACCTATAGTATGCATTGTTGCTTATTAATTATGAATTTGGCTAGATATAGCAGCCCTTACTTCTTACCAGGGAGGCATAATTAAGGGATTAAGGATGTCTTGAAGTCAGTAATTGTAATGGTTTGTAGATTTGTCTTGTGTTAGTTATCTTTATTGACCAATGGGTATTTTGTCGAATTAGAGTATCAACTAATAATGACGATTAACTTACATACATATATTTTTAAGTTAAAGTCTTTACAGTAAGGAAAGATATTTAGCAAATTATGTATTTAATAAATTCACTTTATCACCCTGTAGAATGAAAACTTGGACGTTTACAGGAAAATTATATTTAGCTTATTCTAATAATTAGTTAAGATCTATAAATCTCCAGTTTACAGTACTTTCTAAAACATATAAAAATAATAAAATTTTACAAAAAGTTTCAAGCATTTACTTACTTATTATTTGCAAATGGTAGGTAATACCGGTAATTTTTCAGACTCAAATAGAAATTTTAAATAAAAATTCTATTTTTTTAACACTGTATTTAAAAATAAAGATGAGATGTATTTACTTGCATTTTATGTAAATATGTAACCGTAATGGGGTAAAAAATAAGTTAAATATTCGAGATAGTTAAAAAAAATTTATTAAATATTTGTAAATAATGGCATTGTAGGTAAATATACAAATTTAAAAAAATATATTTTACAAAAAAATATAAAACAATATATTTAA